CCCCAAAACCCCAAAACCCCAAAACCCCAAAACCCCAATATAGACAAAAGATTGATTAAAATTTCACTAATAAAACATAATGTCAACTACAGATCCTGAATGCAAGAAGCTTGTTGATCAGACAGATCATGAACTTAAAGAGGAGCTCATTCCAAAGGAAACCAAAGGTAAAGCAATAGTTAATATACTTTAGACCATCCTCACGTATTTAACGAAACAAAGAGCATCATCTTTGCCTTACTTACGGGATGTTTCTATGCACTCCATAACTTCACATTGGGAGGTCTTGCCAAAATGGGCTATCTAGCCAGGTTTGATACAGGCATAGGCATGGGTATTGGAGCAGGTATATATTACACATACCAGTTTATACAAACCAAGAGGAATAACCAAAAGTTCTTTGACTGGAAGAAATCCATTTTCAGAAATCAAAATACAGAGATCCCTGAATATCAAAGAGAGAAGTTTGAGTACTGGATCCTAGCTGGAGTCATAAGTATAGCAGTACTTGCTGTTGGGTTTGGAATTGTTGTTATAATCTCCTTCAAACTTGCTCTAGAAGGAGGTATGAATCAAGGAATCATCACAGCTATTTATGGAATGACCCCTTTCATTGCCTCTATCTTGTTCTATCTCAAGTTTGGAGAAACACTAAAAGTATCCCAACTGATAGGAATGGTCTTCATGATAGTTTGTATAATTATGATCGGGCTTTTAAGGGCTCCTTCTGAAGAGGCTTCTGCTCGAGAAGATTACAATCCAAGCGGAGTAGCAATTGCTTTAATATTATCGATTATTTGTCCTTTTGCATTTGCTCTAAACGGACTTATTATCAGACTTTTGTGAATGAAATATAGAGTTAATGTAAATGAGCTCAACCAAACAGCCCTTTTGTGTCAAGGAGGACTGGTTCTAATTGGGTCAATAATCGGATACTCAGCAGACAATTATGAATTCATCTGGTTTGATTTTTTACAAATGATCTTAGCAGGCATTATTGTCAATGCAGGAGGAAGTTTAGGAGCAGTTGCTGTATCTATAGGCAATGCAGGCGTGGCTTATTCTCTTTTTAACACCCAAGTGATTATCTTCATCTTGCTAGCTGCTCTTCTATTAGGCCAAATACCCACCACGATTGAAATAGTGGCTGTGGCCTTTGGAATTGTGGGTTCCTGCATCATGTCTCTTGGGCCAGAGATTCACAAAAAATTATCCAACATTTTTAGACGTGAATAACAAACCTCAAATGACTATCACAATGAAGCAAATAATTACTGGATAATTTCAATCTATCTGAATAAGCTAGGGGTTTTGGGGTTTTGGGGTTTTGGGGG